GTGTATGTGTGCTTGTGTGGAGTTTGTGCGTGAGTGTGTTTGTGTGTGGTTGGTGTTCAGGAATGTGTGTGGCTGTTGTTCGGGAATGTTTGGATGTTTGTCCTGTGTATAATTAACGTTAATATATATGAATTTTTGTAGAATTATGAATTAAAATTTTGTACTTACGAGAGGTTTTACATTTTTCAATTTTTTTAAATTTTTTATTAAATTTTTTTAGTCTGGCACCAAAATATTTTCTACCATTCCAACAATTTACCTTATCTCAAAACGATTGCGCGCTGCATATCTCCAAGTTATTTACATAATTTTTCATTTCATTTTTTTTTGTTTAAAACATTTTAAATGCTTCTACGAAGAGAAACTCTTTCTACAAATGTTCATTTGTTTATTTTTATTCAGTCGATCATTGCCTCACAGACCGAACGGTCACTTTGTTTCGAGATGGTGTAATGGTTGAGACGTCTGGTTCTGTTTTGAAGTAACCAAGTTCAAATTTATCTCTAAAACACGCAACACCACTAGGGTTTAAAATTTGCTATGATCGGATATATGACGTCAAGCAGAGTAAAAGTGAACCTAGTGCAAGCAATATTTACATACTTTTTCAGCAATTAATTTTCACCGACAAAAAATTGCAATGCATCCAGATTGTTTGCTCAGTAGAACGCGGAAATTTTTATCATCAATTCAACACAAGTGACACAAAAAATAACTGTATCATCTTCATCTTCGTCATCATTTTGTCATCATTTTTTTATTTTTCGTTATTTTTTAAATCTTATTTTGCCCACTAGGTAATAATTATTCATTTATTATATGTCGCATGTATATCGTCAAAACCATCAGGACCATCATCATCTTTTTCTTAATTCATAACTCCTGTCTCTATAGAGTTAACGTCTTGATCTGTGCCATCGTCTTCATTTTCATCATAATAATAATTACCATCTCTTATCCTAGTGACGTCATCCTCTTAATCTGTCATCACCAACATCCTCATCATTCATGTATCATCATTCATGTATCATCATTCATGTATCATCATTCATGTATCATCATTCATGTATCATCATTCATGTATCATCATTCATGTATCATCATTCATGTATCATCATTCATGTATCATCATTCATGTATCAACATCATTCGCGTGACAATATCCTCGTATATTATTTTTCACAAACATCTTCCTATTCATCATCGCTATACATTTTGGCAGCGTGTATCAATTTATTTTACAGCCATAGTAAAATTTTTACTACCATTTTTTCTGTATAATCAACCCTGGCTGATGTTACGAAAGAAGTGAGATTATTTCTAAAAAAAAATTTGCTCTCTTAAAAATTCAGATTAATTACATGTGATGACATCTGTAGATCAATTTAACATTTCTCAATTTTCCTGTGGTGAAATTATTTGGTGAACTCACAAATTTAAATCCGACATCTGACGAAAAAATGAATGTAAAGTACTATTTAAAAGTACTGCATGAAAAAAAACTCTTTTAAATTAAGAATGTTTGTAAGTCTTAACAATCTAGAATTAGAAAATTAAATTTAATTTTATTCCAAAGTAAAACTTAATAAATGAATAAATTGAGAAAAATGTTGCCACTACAACAACGGTATCTTACAATTTATTCGGCAAAATTTCAAATCTTCAACACCGTTCATATTCACTTAGCTTCACGAAAATCAACTTCATTAAACTTCCTTTATATTGAATCAAAACATAGATATTAAAAAATTTTTTCAATGTTTTTAATTTCAAAAATGAACGAAAAACTACAGTTACGTAAAAAATATTATATCGTCGTCATCATGAATAATGTTGATGAGAGCCCTCCATCCAATTTTAAACGCAACCGAGGTTTTTCTGATAAGTTCAAATTTTTATTATATGTATAATCTAATCAACCAAGCAATAATTACCACATGAAGCGTTCTAATTATATTACAAATCTTATAAAGGGCGGATCCAGACAACTTTGATGAAGGGTCCAACTTTCATGGGGGGCCCAACTTTCACGGGGGTCCAACCTTTGACGGGAGGGTCTAACTTTGACGGGGGGTGGTCCAACACACAAAAAAAAATTTTATGAGAGGCTGATAGAGCTGAGAGAGGTAGGAGAGATTTTTTTTGGGTATCGCACGACTTTTTGTCAATTTTGCGATGTTTTAATATCTGAAAAGTACAGTTTTTGTTGTATAGAGTGCTGAATAACCATTACAGAAAATAGTTGTTGAACAGTTGGTAACCTGGCAGCCTTCCCAAAAAAACCTCACCTGGATCCTACCTGTACTGCAAGACACTAACATCAAACGAGTATAATTAAACATTAATTATAAATAATATTATCTAATATAATGTTATATAATAATATAAAATTATATAATTACAATAATATTTATAGGTGCAATTACAATTATCATTGTTTGTATGCAAGTTTTTTTTTCAAACATCCAAACATATATTTTGTTGTTATAAAATGAAGTTACGTATCAACTGTCAACACAGTAGATTATTAACGAATCGTTTGAATTTAACTTTGAATGAATTTAAGTAATAAAACATAATAAATTATGTGTGTGTGTTTGTGTGGTGTATGTGTGTGTTTGTGTGCTTCCAGAAGCTAGTTGTGGATGTTGCAGAAGATTAATATGAATTTTCAATGTTGATGATACTGTGTTGTTACTGTCATTGTAGTTATTGTCATTTTGTTGTTGCTAACGTTGTTAGTGTTGTTATTATTGTTGTTGTTGTTTTTGGTGGTGGTGGTGTTGTAATTAATGCTCTTGGTTTCCGTCAACAAACAACACAAATAGTAGGAAGGAACCACAAAATGTTTATAAAAAGAGAAAAAAAAAAAAAAAGAAAATAACGCAACAATGAAAATTAATTTTATCAGCGTTTTGTCTCTGAAAGCATGAAATACGTTAAAAAGTTTTTAAAACGGACTTTGAAACTTTGAAAAACAGGATGACGTTGATAAATTTTTCGAAAAATCGTCGCAAGAAAAACAGTTTAAAAGAAATCAACTAGTCAGTTCAAAACAATTATGACAATAAATATAACAATAATTATAATTAATAATAATAATTACTATTATTATTAGTATTATTATTACTATTAACACAAGTTTAAATAACTCAAAGTGATCTCTCTTAAAATTTTATCTACCACATTTTTGAATGTTAAACTACGCTGGCAGTAATCAATATGCCAGTTTTATATTTGATGATAATTTTCAAGGTTTTTATAAATTTATCAACATTATTATTATTATTATTATTATTATTATTATAATTATTATTATTATTGCTGTTGTTGTTGTTGTTGATGTTATTATTATTATTATCTATTTTACATTGCAATAACGAACGACGAAATGTCATTGGTTTGATCGACTGACTAGCAAGAAAATTTTTTACGATAGCTAGTAATAATAATAGTAATAAAAATCAAATAACAACAAAAAAATAATAGTAATATTATTTATTTATTATTATTTTATTATTATCATTCTAGGTTTAATCGGCGTCATAGCCGCTATGTTCGCTGACGATTTCATCATCATCATCATCTTGCTTATTATTATTATTATTATTGTTGTTGTTGTTGAGGTTAACTTTGTATACATTTTTTCTATTGTTGCTGTTGTTGTTGTCGTTGTTGACGAATTTGTTATTGCTGCTCTTCGGATCGAAATATTTTTTGGCAGTAGGAGGAGTTGCTACAATGGCAGCAGCAGCAGTAGTAGTGGTAGCTGCTGTTGTTGCGACTATCGTTTGCCCATCTTTTTTCCTGACTACATTACCGGATTGATCATGATGATGATGATGATGTTGGGGACGATCTGTGTGCGTGTGTGCGTGTGTACGTGTATGTCATTATTATTTAATTAATAATATTTATTATTATGATTTAATATTTATGATTAGCATAGTCGCAGTCTTAATTTGGAGAGAACTCTTTTTGCCTAGCCCCTAAAAATTTTGAGATGACAAACCTAATAATTTAACCCATCCTCATTATGTAGAGATAAAAACCTGTTGTTGCTGTTGTTGTTGTTGTTGTTGCTGCTGCTGTTTATTTTTAGGTTTAAATTGTTGCCACGTGATAAGTAAATTTTTTTTTGTTAATTTATCCGGCTGTCATCATCATCTTCATAATCATCGCAGACGAAGATGACGGTGCAAGGTTGCATTCCCTCATTCAGTTATTCATAAATTGCACTTTGCTATTGTTTAATACTATAGTGTAGTTTGTAGTGCTAGATAAACTCGTCTTTCCAATGAAATCGTCAATATTATATTGCATGGTTTGATTAAAATAAGCGGTATGAACGCAAACAACCAAGCAAATGTATGTAGGCTACTAGAATGTAACTAATATTATTGTAACAAAACATCGCTATTATCGTAACGTAACGTTAACGCCATGATTAACAATGTCGTCACTTCATTAGCGATATAAACAACAACAACACTGGTGACATCAACAACATTGATGACGTCATCAAAATTGATGACGTCAAGATTCTTCGATGTGACAAACTTTGTCGTCGTCATCGGTAAAACGAGTGTACACCAACAACATTAATGTGACGTCATCAACAACATCATTAATGACACATCAACCACACGCTCACACACACACACATACACATGCACACACACATACGCACAGACACACATACACACACACAAAACAAACCAGCCACGAGGAATTTCTGCTTCCTAATCCTGAAGCCATTGTTAGCGAGGCAGACGTACCTTCCCTCAAACTGGGGTCCATATCTTTTGAAGATCATCAACAGTAATTAATTAACTAAATTAATTAATTAATTAGCCAATTAAGTAATAAATTGATTTAAAAATTATTCACAACTAATTGTTTGTTTTAATTTGTTTTTCTAAAATAAATATGACGAACAATATTCATCAACGTTATTATTGTTTGAGACAATGCATGAATTTATACACACACATGCACACACAAACACACACACGCACACACACAAACACACACACACAGAGATATATATCTATATATAAATTCACGCACACACACACACACATACTGACAAACACACACATGCATACAAGTATACACGCACACATATATAGAAACAGCGAGAAAACGAATGAGAGAGAGAAAGAGAAAAAAGAGAGAAATATAAACACACATACACACATATACACAGAAACACACACATACACACACAAACACAAACACACACACACCTGATAATGACCAATGTGGATGAGACCGCATTCTTCTTCCAGTCACTGGAGTCGTCCTATCCATTAGTTAGTTTCATTTTATTTCACACATTCGCTCATATTTCCATTTTGTTGTGTATATTATATTTATTTGTTTTATTTATTTATTGTTTTTAATTTTGTAAACAAAATAGCAAAGAATAAAATGAAAAAATAAAAAAAAATTAATTGAAAAGAAAAAATAGCGAAGAAAAACATCGAAGTAATTTAAAAACAAATATTTGCATAAATGTTTCGAAAAATTGAACCTCAATCTTAGCAACAAGAACGTACTTTGGAGAGTGTATAATCATGAAAATGTTCATGAAGCAACAAATTTTAACTTGATTTTATTATCATTTTATTATATTTATAGGAATAATTTTCAAATAATTATTAATTCACTAATAATTTTTGAAAGAACTAACAATGATGTAATAATTCTTCCCATTGGTCACAGGGTCCCTACCCTTGTACCACGTGATCGATGGCTGCGGATTGGGATTTCCCCTGGTCTCGCACATCAGCAGGAAAGATTTTCCTAAAACCGGAAGTGGATCGTGAGTGGAAGCGGGAAACCAGTTGTGACTGTCGTAACGCATCTTGTAGCCATCCAACTTCCATGGATTGTCTGCGGTGATGAAGATGATGGTGATAATGATGTCTATATTCATAGTACACACACCACACGCATACACACACACACACACACACACACGCATACCTTCGACGATAATTGAGAATTTGTGGTGGACGACTGGTTTGACGAAGTTATCGATGTAGCAGACGTATACGCCACTGTCGTACTCTGTGGCCGATTTTATGAACAGGCCGTTGCCCTGGGGTGTTTGTGTGGTAGTTGATTTTAAGGTTAAAGGTCAACTATTATTATTATTGTTATTATTATTATTATTGTTGTTGTTGTCGTCGTCGTCGTTGTTGTTGTTGTGTTGTATTGTAATGCAATGTTTTTTTGTTTTTTTTATGTGTTGTTTGTTGTTGTAATAAATGTATTGTCATCCTAACGCATAAACGTTTGTTGTGATGTGTTGTTTGGGACGTTGTTTGTCTGTGTGTGTGTGTGAGTTGTTTGTGTGTGTGTGTTGTGTGTGATGTGTTGTTTGTGACGTTGTGTATCTGTGTGTCTGTGTGTGCGCGTGTGTGTTGAGAGTTGTTGGAACATTTAGCAGATGAAAATGTGTTTAATTTGTTAAGTTGGAGTGCCTGCCTGAATGGAGGCAGGCGAGTGAGTGGTGATTGAATGAGTGAATGTGTAAGTAGATGAATGAATGAATAATGAATGAACAATTGAATGAATAAATGAATGAATGAATGAACATGTGAACCATCATACAAATGATTAATATGATTGATAATAATTGTGAATGCGTGAACAAACAAACGAATAAATTGACAAACGCTAATACATTTGTTTGATTGAAGAAATTAACAAATAATTAAAATAAATTGATAATAGTAATAAATTAAATTAAATTTACGTGAATGACTGAATAAATGACTGAATAAATAAATGAATGAATGAATGAATGAATTAACAAACGAATGAATGAATGAACAAACAAACGACTTAACTACAGAATGGCTGACAAATTATATATCTGTTGGATTGACATTTCTTCTTCCCGAGCAAACAAATAAAAAACAAAATGATTGATTGACAGATTGATAAACAATATCTTGCTCGCTATTGAATTGAAAACACACATAAACACACGCACACACACACTTAACACCAAACACACGTGCAAACGAGCACACGCACACACACACACACTTAACACGAAACACACATACAAACGAACACACGCACACACACACACTTAACACAAAACACATGTGCAAACGAACACACGCACACACACACTTAACACGAAACACACATACAAACGAACACACACATACAAACGAACACGCACACACACACACACTTAACACGAAACACACATACAAACGAACACACGCACACACACACACTTAACACAAAACACATGTGCAAACGAACACACGCACACACACACTTAACACGAAACACACATACAAACGAACACACACATACAAACGAACACACACATACAAACGAACACGCACACACACACACACCCAATATTGATGGCTCCCATCAGGAAGGGTTCGATTCCTATCCTCCCTGGTCCAGTAGACAATGGGCACTGGATATCCCGAAGCATTGCACCAGAGGGTCACATCGTTGTCTACCTTAACACGCGTCTCTTTCTCACTCGTCTGAGATTCTATCTTTGAATCTGTCAACGAGGTTTTCATGGTTGTTGATGGCTGTTAAATGATACCGTATCGATATATCATGATATCATATCGATATATCATGATATCTTAACAATATAACAGATATCTTAATAATATATCATGATATCCACAGTAACAATATATCATGATATCTTAATAATATATCTTGATATTGTAACAATATATCATGACATCGTAACAATATATCATGATATTGTGTTGTGAGTGTTCTTGTTATCATATCATCATTATTGTTGTTAGCCTTATCATCATCATCGTTATTATTATTATCATCATGATCCGTGAGTCCGTGAGGTGATGAAATGATTAAAAGTACTACAATGTGAGTAGGTTTAAAAGCAAGAAAATCTCCTCTTATCACATGGCAATATGTGATGATGATACTTTGATCCATAAGCAAGTAACGCCTATTGTGATATTGGCTGTCAGTGTGTGTGTGTGTGTGTGTGTGTGTGTGTGTGTGTGTGTGTGTGTGTGTGTGTGTGTGTGTGTGTGTTGTTCTTAACTTTAGGTAAAGCAGTAAAAAGATAATAGCCATAGTTATCACCATACTTACTGCGTTTTGTTGTTGCTCCGTTTTATGTGAAAAAAATTACAGAGTTCCGCTTAAAGCGTATAAAAACTAAAATTCTATTCTATGTTATAAAACTTTTTAATACATCGTCAAGTCCTGAAGAACGAGCCACAAATAATCACCCAAAAGAACCGACCTGTAACATTGAGGATCATGTACTTGTGTCTGGTGCTCGAGCCGGCCAGGTTGCACCTGTAGTAGCCACCATCTGACTTTCTGACGCGTCTGATGATGAGGACACTGAGGGCGCTGTTGTGGGGCCTGTACACTCTGAAGCGCTTGTCTTTCACAGCCAGGTTCCTTCCCGTCGCTATGACCGTCGGTTGTGAATCTTGAAAGTTCTGGTAGAAGTAGTAGTTGTTGTGGTTGTTGTTGTCGTTGTTGTTGTTGCTGTTCAGGAATGGGTTGATGTTGACGCTCTCTTCGTTGTTTTGGTTGCGCTTGCGTTTGCGGCTGTTCGGTGCGTTGTTGTTGTTGTTGGAGCTGCGGTAGGTGTTGAATTGTTGCTGCTGTTGTTGTAGTTTTTGTTGCTGCTGTTTCTGAAGTTCTTTCTCATCTGATGGCGACTCCTTCACCCAGTCGATCTGAAATTGAATGGAAAGTTAAAATTATGGAGAAAAAAAAACTTGCCAGTTTGCAACATTTCGAATTGTGCCATCCGATAATGGTTTGAATATTTTTTGTTTTAGAATATTTTAGCATTGTATGTTGTACAAAATAATATCTAAAATATAGAAGATACAGTGGCGTAATGGTTAGGGTGCTTGGCACTGCTGTTGCGGCAGCTGGGTTCAAATGCTAGAAGACCCTCAACTACACCATGGAATGTGTGTGATGTAATTATTCACGTGTGTTAACGTACATACATTGGGGGGTTATTTTTGATACTTTTAAAATATACGGAGAAATTAATATAGAAAAGAAGAAAAATATTTGAAACAACAGTTACAACTTACATTTCCATTCTTGAGTTGGGGGAAGAGGGCGTCGAAGCTGCAGTGGATGACCGCTGTGTCCCCTGCGGCTACTGTGGTCACCGACCATACATGCTCCACCGAAGCTAGCGAGTTGTCCTCGTCGCCGTTTGCTGTTTGTGGTGGTGGTGGTGATGATGAGGATGATGATGGTGGTGGTGATGGTGGTGATGATGATGATGAGAATGATGGTTATGATGATGATGATGGTGATAATGACGACGACGATGAGGTTGATGATGATGATGGTGATGATAGTGTTGGTTGTGGTAGTAGGAATAATAATGATGTTAGTTTGGTGCTAGTGATGATGACGATGATGACGACGATGACAATGATGATGACGATGATAAGGCTGATTAGAATAGCATAGCATCGACAACATCACCATATAAGTGAATTATTGATAATATCTGGAGATGAGAGTATCGATTGGCCCATGGATTTGTTGATAGAATCATTTTTACGAATCACCTCGAGTGTTTTTGTGTTTGTCTCTGTGTTGTGTTGCGTGTATGTGTCTTTGTGCCTGTGTGTATGTGTGTGTCTGTGTTGTTCATGTGTGTATGCATGTATTGTGTGTGTTTCTGTGTTGTTCGTGCGTGTATGCATGTATGTGTGTTTCTGTGTTGTTCGTGCATGTATGCATGCATGTGAGTTTCTGTGTTTTCAACATTTTAGCTAACAAATCAAAAACGAATATACTCTTTCCACATATTATATGTAAAGGTCCAAGAGTATGGAATTATATTATGAAAAATGGTTTTTGTAATGAAAATATGCACAAGAACTTCAAAAATAGGTTAAAAACGTTTTTATTGGAAACACACATAAATATTTGTGTTGGTTTTTAATTGTGAACTATTCACGGACCATTACATTCAAAGGTGTATAATTTATGTAGAAAACTGGAAACATAATTTGTATTTTCTGTTACGGTGGACATGCTCGATGAATTCCAATAAGAATTCTATCAGAGTCTGCCCGCTTCTTATCATTAAATTCTTTTTTTAATTTTATGGAGCAAATAAAATTTCGTTTCGTTTTGTATGTATGTATGAAGGTTTCTGTGTTTCTGAGTTGTTTGTGTGTGTATGCATGTATGTGTGTTGTGTATGTACGTTGTGCATGTTTGGTTCTCTATACCATTTTTTTTCGTTATTTCTAAAATACAAAATTTAGTTTAGGGAAAAATAAAAAAAATGAATGCACTTTAGAATGCATTTTTTTAGTAATGCAATCACTTTGTAATGTAAACCTTTTTAAATGTAAATTTTCTTTGTGGCAAAAATCGTTTGTAATGTGTGAATAATTCACAAAGTGTAAACCACTTTTGCAGTGTAAATCATTTGTAATGTGTGAATTACTCTGGGAATAAATCACGTCAGTTCAGTAAATAGTAGTTGAGGACCTCGTTCGGATACGCCAGCAATTGAACCTCTCATCAATTACTCCATCAACAATTATTTTTTCTATTTTTTGTGATAAATGGCATGTAATAGCGTGAAAATGGCATATAATAGCGTGAAAATTTAATATTTATACGATAAATTGACAATAAGGCAAAAATAGAATGATGACGGTAGCAAATTAAACCAAATATATCACATGTGTTTGCTTCGCCACGGCCATATCCAACGAATTATTAATATTATTATTTATAACTTCCATTTACACATGTTTATTTGGTTATAATTTATTCATTTATTCATTCGTTCGTTCGTTCGTTTGTTCGTTCATTCATTCATTCATTCATTCGTTCGTTCGTTCGTTCGTTCATTCATTCGTACATTCGTTCGTTCATTCATTCATTCATTCATTCATTCGTTTATCTATTTATTAATTAGCTTATTATTAAACGTGCATGATGTTATTTAGAATTGCTTGGTCCCATTTTCTTGCATATGTAACAATATCAACAAACAACATCAGCATCAACAAACAACATCAACAAACTACACCAACATCAACAAACTACATCAACAAACTACACCAACATCAACAAACTACATCAACAAACTACATCAACTATAAAAAAAAGTATAAAAACAACACAAACACTACAACAACGTTAATTTGACACAAAAAAAAACAAGATGAAACCATAACAGCAGCAACTAAAAAACTAACTTGAAATTAAAAAACTTGGGCGCAGCAAAAATTAAAAAACAACGATAACAACAAAAACAAGCCAATCGCAAAAACTTCAACATATAATGTTACAATCAAAACGGAATTGTTGAACAACATCAGCCAACATCAACAACATCAGCCAAAAACATCAACAACAACATCAGCCAAAAACATCAACAACAACATCAGCCAACAACATCAGCCAACATAACCAACACGCACAACACAAAAGATATCTTCAAATTAATAGAACAACACGGCTTAAACTTTATTTATTGTTCACCAGATGTCATTTATCCTCATTTTGGTGGCCGTCATCAACTTACGCGGGTCTTCCATTGGCCAGATATTAACGTTTTTTATGGGTATCCAGAGAGATTAATACCATCTCGATGCATACTTTAACACGGTACCCCATTGTACTTATCTACGTGTAGGGTATTGTAGTTGCGAGTAAAATTGTTGCCACTGAAGGGGGTTCTGGGGACAACCGCCCCCTCCAAAAATTATTTTCTACTTAATTTTTGTGCATGCTACTACTGTATTAGATATTGTATAACGTGTGTGAATGTTTTTAACCGTTAAATCAACCGTATTTTGAATTCAATCTGAACCATGCTGTGCTTCCGCACCAGCCTTTTTAACATTTTTTTCATTGTTTGAATTCATGTAACTATGCTCTTCACCATTTAGGTTGTATTTGATTTTGAATAGTCTCAAGATTATAGAATGTACTGTGAGTATAGTTTATAGTATAGTGTATATATTATACAATTATTTATAAAGATCACTGCGTGATAAATACAAATAAATACAAATAATTGTATTTATGATAGTCTAAACCCAAAATGTATATATTATAGTATATATTGTATATGTATATATATATATATATATATATATATATATTATAGTATATATTGTATATACATAGTTTATAGTATAGTATAGTATACTGGGTATTATACGCTGTATCAAATGTATATGAGATGCAAACGAAATAAACATAAAAGTTATGAATACAACAAAAGATAATTAACTTAAAAATATTTAATAATGTTTACATTTTTCTATCTATGCTTATATTGCCGATGCATTGGACTGGAATGGAGTACCGGTTGATATTTATTCTTTGGAGAGGCTTACAAATGATGTCGTCGTTATTAAAAAACGAATGTCAATAAAAGTCGCAAAAAACAACCTCAACATTGATTGGATTGTGACGATGGTGATGATGGTGATGATGCAGATGATGATGATGTTGGGGGTGATGACGGCGATGATGATGATGGTGATGGTGATAAGGACGATGATGAAGATATGAAGACGATGTTAGTTGTGAGTTAATTTACGAACAAAGCACAACCAGTGGGATGTTGTTTGAAATTGGAAACAATTTATTTATATTTATGTATGGAGGTAATCTATTATTATCTAGCCTGTTTTGTAATGTTGCTGGTCACTTTTCAGAAAATCGTTGTTCACACATCACAAACACACCACACACACACACACACACACACACACACACATACACACACTAACCTTAGTAACCAAACCACACACATACACATACACACACACACTTACACAGACACACATACACAGACACACACACACAATTCAACTTTTATTAGTAAACCAAACCAAACCGAAACATCAGCATGTACGTTCAACTAACTCAGTGCTATCAAATATCTCCCATTCTGTACGTAAGCCTATATAAAACCAAATGAAATATGCCTGAGTACCATTTAAGCGGACACATCAAAAAATCAATCACTCCTTATTGGCTACATAGCTTAACATTGCTTAACTCTTGTCTACATTTTAGTTTGGTGTTATGTTTAATTTTTTTGTTTAAATGTTTGTTTTAACTTTGGAATGAATTATCATTGTTTTTGGCATTGTTTTAGGGTGTAAGTTCACTTTTGGTTAAGTAGAACAAGCAAAATCAAAAAATTGTTAAGAAGTTTTTTATGACTATAATTCAAATTTTTAAAAAATTTTGAATTACTGAATGAACGAACAAACGACGAACGAACGAACGACGAACGCACGAACGAACGAACGAGCAGACAAACAAAAGGATGAATTAACTCCCAATATTTAAATATACACTATGTTTATGCCAGAAAAAACAGCATAGAAGAAGATAAGAAAGCTCACTATATCACTCTTATTTCAATCAGACATCATTTTAAAATTTTCGCTTGATGTTTACGGCAGTGAAACAAAATTAAAACCACACACATACATGCAACTCGATAGCATTGTATTACGCATGAGCGAATCATCAGAATCGTGTTAGTTCGTTTGTTATACATAAATATCTTTGTTATCTTTGTTCGTTTGTTATACATAAATATCTCCAAAGGATATCTCATCAGCATCATCTGCTGTCAGCCAGCCCAGGGCGGCAATAGCTAGTCACAAAGAGTATCTTCTTCTATCTTTTGTTATTTTTCCAGCTTCTGTGAAAGGATATCTTCCTACCTTCTAACTCTTTCTAATTTAAATTACATTTACCTTATGTCAGAAACAACACCAACATCGCAACAACAACAGTAAAACAGTGTTGTTGTTGTTTGTTGTTGCTGTTGTTGTTGTTGTTAGTTAGTTATGGTCAATAATTAATGCCCCTGGCTATCGATCTAACAGATTCAAATTTCATACTCGCCAACTGAAGCATAATTTTAATTTGTTGTAAGTATAAACGAATGATATATGATATACGACATATGAATATGATATATGAATGGCATATGAATGATTCATTGGTGATATATGAATGATATATGAAAAACAAATGATTATGAGTTGGCATGGTTTGTGAGAGAACATACGATTAAAAAGACAAACCAATGATAAACAAGTACGAACAAAGATGAACCAGCACAAAAACAATAAACACTTAACGCGAACGAACAAAGATGAACCAGCACACAAAACGGCACACAAAACAATAAACATGAACGAACAAAGATGAACCAGCACACAAACAAACAACAAACGCGAACGAGCAAAGATGAACAAGTACAAACGATGAACATTGAAATATCACAAAAATCGAAATTGCAGATTTCGAACGCTTGTTCGGCAGACAAATTTGCGTACTTAGACACAGGAAGAATATGTTTGAAGAGAACTCCATCGGTTGAACAGAAATATTTTTTATATTAACAAATAAAAAATGGTTTATATTGTTTGTGGGTTACGCAGTGCAAATCAGGGAGAAACTAAATTGAGATGCCACAAATCGTATACATAGACCCATCAAAAAATATTATATTTATCTATTTATTTATTTATTCATTCATTTATTTATTTATTTGTTTATTTATTTATTTATTTATTTATTTATTCATTTATTTATTTATTTATAATTTAAATTAACTAATTTAGTTTTACACAAGCGTTTATCTATTCTTTGATTAAAATGACAAAATTAAAATAACTATTAGGAAAAGTTACAAGTACTAAAAATGAAAGTCGCAGTACCCAGTATTAGACAGATCCAAAGAGAACTAAGCCTACACAGAAAAAGTTCAAAAATTCTTCAACATGTTCTGGTACATTAAAAAATTTTACTCTCATACCCGCAATACAATACGATGTTGCAAACAAATGAAGCATGCATTAAATAGGGGAGCATGTTTTTGAAAGTTCTTCAACTGTTTGTGAATGTGTAGTTTTGTTAACGCTTTCGGATCAGACTTAAGCAGGCTTTTTGTTTGTAATAAGTAAGAGGTTTTATTACAATTATAGATTGTGTGTGTGTGCGTGTGTGTGCGTGTGTGTGCGTGTGTGTGT